TTGTAATAACTCTATTACAAAGACTTTACAACTCGACTAACTCTAGCCAAGACTCAAACACAAAGGTTTAAGATTTTGGTTTCCTATAGAATACTTCTAAACAAGCTAAGTAAGAATTACAATTGAAGAACTATTACAAAGTTACAACTCAACTAAGGACATACAATGATTTGTTGTGGGGAACTGGTCCGTAGTAATATTGTTCTTTGTTCTTGATGCACTTGAGAATTATTTGCTTGATGATCAATGGTCGTGAGAGTGCTTGAGTAAATTCTCTAAGTGTTCAAGTGATATATTTTACCTTCCTTGATGTTAATAATACATTTGTGATATCACTTGGGATGATGTAAGCAAGGTAGGTAAAAGACACTCCCCATATAGTTGATTGCTGCACTGTTTCTGTACTGTACCGTGTGCAGGCAGCAACTTTATAGCTGGGGCTGTTGACTTGTGCAGTTTCCACGGGAAACGGTAGCTATCTGTTCCCTCTGTTGTTCTTCTGACTCTGAAGAGTTGAAGCATATCCTAAGCCGGAACCTTTTGATCTTAAGGTCTTGAGAATATGTAACAAGTTCCTTATCTGATTCTTGATAATAATTTTGTTAGATCATCAAAACATAAAACAATGTACTTGTAACCTAATAGTAACAAATATTCATTCATTTTTAATCAAAGATCTTAAATTCAAGTCTAAAAGTGTCACGACCCATAATTCCCACCCTCGGGAGTCGTGATGGCGCCTACTCGTAGAAGCTAGGCAAGCCACGAAATTTAGAAATCTTTAACATTTTTCATTTTTAATAGTTTTAACTACTTGCAGTAACAGGTGATAAACAGTAAAATAACAGCGGAAGACGAAAATTAAGCGGAAGACTTAGATAATTATGATACAAAAATCGATACGAAAAGCCAACATATGTCTCTACCCAGAAACCGGTGTCACAACATTCACGGACTATCTAGGATTACTACATACAAATGTCTGAAAGAAAGAAACTCAGTCTGTCTCGGATATAAATGATAACAGAACATAATAGTAGATAGAAGAGACGCCGGGCCTGCGGACGCCCGCAGGACTACCTCGGGATCTCTGTGGACTAAAGGCTGGCTCCCGAGCTACTGTTGCTGTCCCAGTGCTGCCTCGGTATTTGCACAGAGTGTAGAGTGTAGCATCAGCACAACCGACCCCATGTGCTGGTAAGTGCCTGGCCTAACCCCGGCGAGGTAGTGACGAGGCTAGGACCAGACTCCAGATAAACCTGTGCAGTTATATATATATACAGCGGAAAGGTAAACTAGAACAAACAATTAAAGCTGGGAAGGGGAAACATGTTTTGGGGAATAACAGATAAACAAAATCTCAAGAGAATTATAAGGAAACCAAAATTCGACTTCTAACAGGGATAAGGAAAACAAAGGCAGATTTCACTTTCGGTTCACATCTCGTTGCAGGCGTGCAACCCGATCCCATTTCATTATATCTTGTGGTAGGCGTACCACCCGTTCCCATTTCATTATATCTCGTGGTAAGCGTACCACCCATTCCCATTTCATTACATCTCGTGGTAAGCATACCACCCGCTCCCATTTCATTACATCTCGTGGTAGGCATACCACCCGCTCCCGTTTCCAAGCCACACAAAATCACAAGGAATTCCGACAAGGGAACAAAAGCAATATAATAACTTCCCGGCAAGGGAACAACGATACCAAACAAACCTCCCGGCAAGGGAGAATCAGCTATAACCAATCCTAACTCAACTTCGACTCAGCTCAATTAGCACCAATGCTTAATCATAATTAAAATCCATGAGAATAAACCAAATCTTTGCTCAATATCGAGAATCATCAATTAAAGCATCCATAGCAACATTTAAGAACACAATATCTATCAATATAAGACTCACGGTCATGCTCGACACCAACGTATATATTCACATTACCATGCCTATACGTCGTACTCAACAAGAAGCAACTAGCAAATAGGACACAACTCCTAATCCCTCAAGCTAAGGTTAGACCGGACACTTACCTCAAACTTCCACGGCCAACTCAATCCTCAAATACCGCCTTTCCTTTCGAATTCGGCTCCAAATCAATTGTATCTATACATAATCGACTTCATAACGTCAATAAACGCTAAACAATTCAATTCCAATGCCAAATTATAGCTTTCTAATCATTCTTCCCAAAAACCCAAAAATCGACCCCGGCCCCGCTTGGTCAAAACACGAAGTTCGAACCAAAATCCGCTCACCCATTCACCCACGAGCCCGAATATATGATTAGTTCCAGAATTCGACCCAAAAACGAGGTCTAAATCGCAATTAATCAAAAAGCCCTAATCCCTAATTTTCTACCCTTAATCTCATGTTTTAGGCCTAGAAATCTAGTGGGTGTTGATAATAATGGAAGATAACACGTTAGAAATTACTTGCCTAAGAGATTATGGTGAGAAAATGCTTCAAAAATCGCCTAAGAGCTTTGGAGAAGAAGAGGTTTATGAAATTTTGTAAAAATCCCGTAAGTGTTCTGTTTTGGGTCTTTTAAAATAACTGGGCAAAAATGTTCTTCGCTTTCGCGACAGACTCTTCGCGTTCGCGATGAGTCAGGCCTCCAGGCCTTCGCGTTCGCGTGAACGGGCTCGCGTTCGCGGAGAAGGATCTCCTCAAGCCCTCGCGTTCACGTCCAATTGGTCGCGTTCGCGTAAGACAAATGCCCCACCCCCTGCCCAGGCCCACTTGGCCTTCGAGTTCGCGTGGCCAGGACCGCGTTCGCGAAGGGATAACCCCCCACTGCCTCGCGTTCGCGACCTGAGCTACGCGTTCGCGTAGAAGGAAATTCCTCCGGCATCATTTACACATCTCGTTCGCGAGGGCCATCCCGCGAACGCGAAGAAGAAAACATCAGTACACCAGAACAACTATTTCTGCAACTTTTCTTAAGTCCAAAACTTCCCGAAACATTCGAAACACACCCGAGCCCTCGGGGGTCCTAACCAAACACACGTACTAACTCAACAACATCATACAAACTTATCTGTGCGATCAAATCGCCAAAATAACCTTAATAACAATGAATTAAACCTCAAAATCAAAGAACTTTTTTCAAACTTCATAAAACATCAACTTTAGCAATTTAGGTCCGAATCACGTCAAACGCCATCCGTTTTTTACCAAATTTTACAGAAATGTCTTAAATCATATATAAGACCTGTACCGGGCACCGGAACCAAAATACGGGCCCGATACCACCATGTTCTAATCAAATTTCATTTCAAATTTCCTTAAACAATTTCAGAAAATAATTTCCTTTAAAAATTCATTTCTCGGGCTTGGGACCTCGGAATTCGATTCCGGGCATACGCCCAAGTCCCGTATTTTCCTACAGACCCTCCAGGACCGTCAATTCACGGGTCTGGGTCCGTTTACACAAAACGTTGACCGACTCAAATTAATTCATTTATTAGCCAAATTTTATCATTTTTCACAGATTTTCATATTTAAGCTTTCCGGCTACGTGCCTAGACTGCGCACGCAAATCGAGGTGACTCTAAATGAGGTTTTTAAGGCCTCAGAAACACAAAATTTAATTTAAAAGCTAAAAAGTGAAATCACTTTTGTTAGAATTTTGAAGGCTAAATTTTTTTATGTAAATTCAAATTTAATAGAACTCCACGATGAATAGTACACACCAAATAAGAAACCAAAAGAAAAAGTGGACCTATGGAATCTTCCAAGGCCAAATTTTGGCCCCTTTTGAGCTCCCAGCTCAGCACGTTAATTTTAATTTTAAGGGGTACCCATTTTTGGTAGGATAGTGCTAACTGGTGCTATTGCTAGAATGGTTTTTATTCACGTTTTCTCAGTATTTGTATACAATACTATCCTTTGATTAAGACAAAATATTAAAGTAAATCATTGCTATTCCGCTTGTCTCAATAAACTAAATCTATTTAAATCTTTAATTAAGTGTAATATTTCTACCAGTCCGATTTGTCTGGGAATCTCTTTTTTTTTTTATCTGTCATTCAAAAACATATTGTCTTTGTATATTTGAAAACTAGTTCACTTTAGTTCTAATTTTACCAATGACATGATTTATTCTAGGCTCATAAAATTCAAAACCAATAGCTTGATATACTTCATGCGTAAACCTATATGACACACTTTCCTTTTTAGGCATTTAAAAAAAATATCATCCTTCTATATTTAGAAATAACTTAATTTTAAAATACATTTCATTCTTACTAAAATGATTTATAATCACACAAACATTTCTAGTTAGATAGCAAGTTTCAATTTTTTTTTTCTTAAACTCTGTCCGGACAAACAATGCCACATAAGTTCTAAGTTACTAATAGTATGTTTGATGTCTTTTTCTAACTACGGATTAAATCAAATACGCCTAAACAAATAATAACAGGGACAATTATGCTAAGTTTAGAAGTACTTAAATAATAACTTGAGATATAAGAAAGAATATACTCTCTATTTCATTTCTTATCCATTCGAGAAAATGAAATATTTTTGTATTTGAAAAAACCTTAACTTCAAACTCCTATTTTACTCTTAATACTCCCTCCGGTTCACTTTAAATAACTTTTTGGCCTTTTTTTGTGGTTCATAATATTTAATTTTTTCAGATATTAAGAACAAATTAACTTTTTCTTTACAAAATTGCCCTTGAAGTAAAGAGTCAATGAGTAGTTTATTATATTTTTAATAAGCAAATTAAGGTTAATATAATCAATTTATAATGTTAATTAATAATAAAAAGTAAATTCTTTAATATATTTTGAATGAGCCAAAAAAATCACTTAAAGTGGATTGAAGGGAATAATATGTTTTTATTATGGACATTCGGTGTCTAATTTAACTCTGTGCCTAGAGTAGTAATTAGCACATGTGAAAAATTAAGAATAGTGCAATTTATGCCAGTTTGAGTTGTGAGCTCTGAAAATTATTTGTATTTAAGAAATTAGTATTTTGGACCGAACTAAAAGTAATGGAATATTCAAAGCTTTTTGTATAGCTCTTTCCTTCCATTTTCCCAATTACATCAAACACTTTACCCTTTTCGCAGGTACTTCCTCTTACCACTCATATCATAACACATCCACGAATAATCAATCTTCCCTCCTCCGTCAAATGGACTTTCCACCACCGGATTTTTTCACCGGCGCCGGCGACGGAAGGCCATCTCCGACGAGGAGAGTAGAACTACAAGGTCCTCGTCCTACTCCTCTTAAAGTCAACAAAGATTCCTACAAGATCAAGAAACCTCCTGTTGCTCCTCCGCCGCATCCTCCGCCTCATACCACCGCCGGAGCTCCGTCAACGAGTCAGAACCCGCAAACGGTGATAATCTACGCGGTTTCACCGAAAGTGTACCACACGACCGTTAGTGACTTCATGAGTGTTGTACAAAGACTTACTGGATCTTCAACTTCCTCCATGGAACCCTCAACCTCCGGCGATGGGAACTTATCGCCGGCGGCAAAGTTGGCTTCGATGGAAAAAGCGAGTAGTCCTGCTGCTGTTCTTCCGGCTTATGCTACTGCTTCTGATTCGATGGATATTTTGGATATAATTGGGAATTCAAGTGTAGAAATGAGTCATCAGATCCCGGGGATATTGTCGCCGGCGCCGGCAACATTACCGCCCGTATCGCCGCCGGGACTCTTTTCGCCGATACCGTCCGATCCTTTCATGATGATGATGTTAAGTCCTAGTCCGTCAACGTTGTTTTCTGCTCCGTTGATTTCTCCTTCGCCAAATGCGTCTGATCTATTCCATCCATTCTTTGACTTTTAGGTAGACTTTTCTTTCTTCTTTTTCTTTTTTATTTTACTTATTTTTAAAAAATTACTTTTTAGCTTTTTATTTTTATTTTTAGTTTCTTCTTTTTATCTTTAGGTAGTCTATGATGAGGTTAATTATTTGTTTGCACATTAAGCACATTGTTGTTTGTACGATACTGTATTTTGCCACATTAGTGGGATTCAATGACAATTTTATCATAGTTGAATTTCCTTTTAGTTTCACATTCTAGCTTTCTATCAGGAACTTGCTCATTTAGCAAATACAAAAAGTTTTTGTATTATATTATCTTTGTTATAAATAGAATTTTATTTATGGTGAATGTCTATATTTAGAGAGATTCTAGGGTTCATTGCTTGGTGGCTAAGTCACCCTCTCCCTATAAATAGAGGGTTCTATTCTATTGTAATTCATCCCAAATCAATAAGAATTCTCTCTCTACTTTTCTCTGCAATACTACTCTTCTTTTTTTATTATTTTATAACACGTTATCAGCACGAGTCTCTAATTATCTATTGAAATTTACCCTATATTAATACTCGTCATTTGAGAGCTTGATGGTACCACCCGCGGCTGAAATCAAGATGAACTAATTCTGGTTTCTTGGATATTATATTGGACAATTGATGCATTGGCAACGGTATAAATAGAGGCTTAATCATGGAAGTTGGCCACTGTCTTCCTTCAAAATTTCACCACGTTGTCCATTGATGAGCCTCCACAATGGGATATATTAATGGCAGTAGAGATGTACGTTTTCCACATGCAAAAGTGAAAAGACAAGGTTTTTAACGAGGCAACCAAAAAGCGTATTATTAGATATGTGTACTCTTTTTTCGTTCTCTAGATTTTTTTCCCATTGGGTTTTATTTTAGTTAAAGTTTTAACGAGGCACATTATTTGTTGAATAGATATTCAAGGGGGAGTGTTATAAATAGAATTTTATTTATGGTGAATGTCTATATTTAGAGAGATTCTAGGGTTTATTACTTGGTGGCTAAGTCACCCTCTCCCTATAAATAGAGGGTTCTATTCCATTGTAATTCATCCCAAATCAATAAGAATTCTCTCTCTCTCTCTACTTTTCTCTGCAATACTCTTCTTCTTCTTTTATTATTTTATAACAATCTTCACATTCTCCTTTTTTTCTCACATTGTAGTACCTTTCTAATTCTTATTTTGTATAGTATTGATGTGAATGAGCTTAGTTGGAATGACAAGATTAGTGAGGAACCATACACTAAAGCCTAATGGGTTGCCCACTGCCCTAACTAAACCACCATCTTTTTGTATATGATAAAACAAGAGTATATTAGTAATGGTGGCACTAGATATGATGAGATTATTTTTCATTCAATGATTGGGGTGTATTAAAGTATTGTATAATTTCTAAAAAAAATTGGGTGTTTAAAAAATACCCTTCATATTCTTTAACTTTGTATACTATTTTTATTGCAATTGTTTTATCCGTAATTGATGTTTTGTATTATATGTCATAGCAATTAAATTTTTCTTCTCTTTTAATTTTGCTCCCCTGTAAAAAAAAAAAAAAAGGCTGGCTTTAGAGAGAGTAAAGAATGTGAAGTGAGTTTAGCTTTCAATTGTTAGGCACCTTTTGAGTAAAAATTTAAGGGATCGTTTGGTAGGAGGTGTAAGAATAGTGCTAAATAAGGTGTATTAATAATGTTGAGATTAGTTATACTTTGAACGAATTTAAAATCTAATTTAGTACTATTAAATACTATGATATTATTTTGATTATAGTAGAATGCTAAAGGAAACAAATTAATTAAAAAACCATAGTATAAAAATATACAAAATATAGCGAAAAGTATTTGGAATATGTTACGAGAGAATTGAGGGGAAATTATATCTTTAACCATGTTTATGCAAGTACTAAAAATTCTTACATTGCTAATACCATGATTTGTTGTGTATTAATTATACATATAATAATACCAAATATGATGTATAACTAATACAAGTATTAGTTACACATAGGTTGAGAAAATGTCTGGAAGTTGAGCTTCGACCTTGAAAGGCATAGCCGATATCTCCCCCCGTATGAGTTGAATAAACCTCAACAATGACGCTGAGTCCCTCAAGGGGTGAATGTAATATCCAACGGACCGCTTGTGTTTGAACTCAAAAGGGGGTTCGCTGGAGGAAAAAGTTATGAGCTATTTAAGAGCGAGTTCAACTAAAAATTCACCTTTTGGGTTAAAGCCAAGAGAACAAATCGTATGCACCAAAAGCTTTAAGGTGGCCTAGAAGAATCGAAAAAATGGATAATACCTTTATAGTTGGATCTAGATCGTGACAACATATGCCAAAGAGTCTTTATAGGAGCGATAACCGAACGAGACAGGTGAATCATTTTTCTGCCACAATACCGTGAAAAAAAGTCTCTAGGTAGGAAAGAAAGGAGAAATTATAAAATCGACCCTTTATGTTTGGGGACTGGTCTAAAGTATAATCCTTAAATATGTTCATGAGCAGTTTTGGTCATTCAAGTTTGTCAAAAGTTACACTTTTCGTCTCTGCCAAATATTTAATAAGCTTAGTATTTACCCTAAAAACTGGATAACAATTAAACTAATATCAATTGATAAGCATAAATATAAATAATAAAAATTGATAATAATATAAATCAAACCAGTGTTTGGGCCGAGCCCTCGAGCTAGTTATGCAAGAACAATTAAAACGCAACAAACTGATAAACAAGAGAATGTAAATTAAAGAGAAAATATTATATTGCTTTTATCTCTGTTAATGTAAGGTATACAAATGATAGGAACTCCTCTTTATATAGTAGAGGAGTCCTAATTATCGTATAATTCTAATTTACAGAAGTAAATTCCATGATTAGCCTAAACAACCGTCCTTGATTTGATCTGTTTCAGGATTTCCACCGTGATCTTCAACAGGTTACGGATATCTCGCCTTTCCGTTATTGCGCTTCGCTCGAAGTCTGTCATATATGGTCTCGATCACTGTTGGCCTCGATCTCGACGAGCACCTCGATTCTCGAGCTTGATAATTTATCTTCGTGTTTTGACCTGATCCATTACGGGCCCGACCCTTGACGTGATTCCCTGATCTTGATTAAATGTCAAAATCGGGAAAGCCCTGTTTTAACCGTATACAGATAGTCCCCTCGTTTCTTGGAGTGTAATGAGAAGAAATGAACTGAGCCTTCAATTTTATACCTCGACCAGTTATGATGTCACCCTTGTGACGTAAGTGACAGAAGCGACTGAAACGTCGCGTTGGTACGGTTCTCAAGATCATTAATGAGCGTCAGTTGGTGGTCGGTCACTAGTACCCTTGAACTGTCGCCGTGAATCCTTAAATAGGTCTTCTTCTCTCTTCTTTAAGCTTTACTTTGAATTTTTCTTGCACTAATCTTCACAATCCTTCTGAGTTTTTCAAGTCTTTCTGCAAATCTTCAAAGTTCTTCACATCTTATAGAGCCTCTCCGTCCTTGCACAGTTTCTAGGCCTCGTTACCAACCTTTTTTCAAAACTACAAATCTCATCTTTTTCTTTTCGTGAATCCATATAAAAATGGCAAAAATATCAAAAATCGTTCCTCAAAAGGTGAAAGCTTCTTCATCCCGGCCGGCCGGCAACAAGACGCCGGTGAAGCCACGCATCGAGGAGTGTGTTCCTGGGGTATGCGATCTTACTTCCGATTTCAAGGTTGAGAAACCCTCATCGGTCCCTGACCGATGTGAGCCAATGCCGAGATATATATGCTCGATAACTGAGGGCGACCTTAAACAGGTGAAGAAAGATTGCCATTGGGAAGGCAAAGAGGTGGTGATTCCGTCCCCTGAAGAAGACATCACCACTTACGTGAAATGGTTCTTAAGTGTTTACACTTACCCTTTTACGCTGGGTCCCGTCGACCCCGTTATCCTTGATTTCTTCTGCCAATACCAAATAACCCTAGGCCAGATCCATCCTTCTTTCTGGTGTATTGTCATTTTTCTTCGATTCTTCATGAGCAAAGTCGAGGGGATGACTTTTATCCTCGACCATCTCATTAGACTGTACCGCCCCCGTCTCTATCGAGGCGGATTAATAAGGCTTCAGCGTCGGGCTACCAAAGTATTGTTCTCGAGCATAGATGAGGATAAAGACCGAGGATGGATGGTCCGATTTGTCCGAGTGAGGACTTCCGACATAATTGCGGCCGAGAAGATGCCATTCCCCGAAGAGTGGAACATGAAGCTTAAGTACAAACCCCGCCCTTGGCCCCCATTTACTGTTTCGTTCCTTTTGCTTTTTCTCATTGATGTTCCTTCCTATGATGCAGCGGTCTCTTGGGTTCCTGGTGCAATTCTGAACCTTGAGGGCTGGGTTCGGAAACTGGCATAGACTTCTTCATTGCCGAGTGCTCATGGCGTGATTTGGCAAGGGGACGATGGGAGGCCAAAAATCATGGTAAGTTTCTTTTCATGTGTTTGACGCTCTTTTCTGAAATGTCTATTTTTTTTTCCTACTTGATTTCCTTTCATACAGGTCTTGGAGACAACGCTATCATGAGGCCCCCGTCTGGGGAGGAGGAGGAGGCCCTGAAGCCGGCTAAGGATAAGAAGAGAAAAAGGCTCTCACCCTCCGATACTCCAAAGCCTAAGAAGAGCAAGGTTCGTAAGTCAAAGAAAGATACCGCCACCCTGCCTACAAATATAGTTCAGCAGCTACGAGATGAAGAATAGGAGAATGAAGATGCCGCCTTCGAGCTGGTGGCTCGAAAGAGGAGCGCCGAGATCCCAAAGGCCGCTGAGCCGGTGATGAGTGAAGAGGTTCAGCCTCGGACAGAAGGGATCTCGAAAGATGGCCTGAGCAAAGTCCCTGAGTCATCGGAAGCCGAAGATGCCTCCCATCGTAATGGGCAACGTGTGGACGTACCTGAAGGGGCCTGTTCTGAGGCCTTTCAAAATGAAGAGAACGTCCCAAGTGACTCGCTTGGAGAAATAAATGTTGACGACTCGCTGCCTCTCCCCACTTTTCCGAGGGGCAAATTCAGGAAGCCCAGGCTATGGAGACCCCCGATGTGGGAATGGCCCAGGAAGAGGAGGACCTTTTCCACGGTTGCTTCATTGGGGTGGAAACAAAACATGAACCGCCTTACCTCGGAGAAAGAGGCTGCTCGAGCTCAACTGTCATCGGCCGAACGTCAGCTCCAAAGTATGAAGGAGGAAAATTTGGCCCGTACC